ATTGAAAATGGAAGATGTTCTATTTTCAAAGATACAACTTTTATATATTCAGGAAACTTGACAAATGGTTTATATACCATTACACCAGAAAGTCCCATCCTAACCATTCAACAAAATAAAAGGAAATTAGATAATCATAGTTCATTCACAATTTGGCATGCTAGATTAGGTCATATATCTGAAAAGAGGATTCACAAATTGGGACCAAAACTCGACCTTATGGGAGAGGATAGGTTGCCTACATGTGAATCATGTCTTAAAGGTAAAATGACAAAATCACCATTTGTTGGACAAGTGGAGCGAGCTAAAGGTCTGTTGGATTTGATCCATACAGATGTTTGTGGACCACTAAATGTTAGTGCTATGGGGAACTATCACTATTTCATAACCTTTACTGATGATTTTTCACGGTATGGTTATGTATACCTATTAAGGTACAAATCTGAAGTATTTGAAAAGTTCAAAGAATTCAGAAATGAAGTGGAGAAACAAATTGGTCGTAGTATTAAAGTCCTTCGATCGGATCGAGGAGGTGAATACTTGACTAATGAGTTTCTTGATTATTTAAGGGATAATGGGATTATCTCACAGTGGACACCTCCTGGAACTCCACAACTCAATGGGGTTTCAGAAAGGAGAAATCGAACACTGTTAGACATGGTTCGATCAATGATGAGTTCCACTAGTTTACCTCTTTCATTCTGGGGTTATGCCTTAGAAACAGCTGCACATATTTTGAATAGAGTGCCGAGTAAAGCTGTACCCAGCACACCTTATGAGATATGGTGTGGTAAATCACCCTCATACAAATATTTGAAAGTATGGGGTTGTACTGCTTATGTGAAGCAGTTAGTGGGAGGTAAGTTGGATATGAGATCCATCTTATGTAAATTTGTGGGGTATCCAAAAGAATCTATTGGATACTATTTCTATGATCCCTCTGAACAAAAGGTGTTTGTTTCGAGGAATGCTGTATTCTTAGAGGAAGAGTTTATCTCAAAGAATAGTGGAGTCATAGAACTTAATGAAGAACCACAAGAAATTCCACAAAGTACCACAAATAACATACCAGTAGAGACTGGACCATCTGAAACACAACCTCTTCGGAGATCCGAAAGGGTTTCTAGGGCGCCTGAAAGGCTATACCTATTGTCAAAAGACAATGAAGAGGGACTCCTTTTGGATAATGATCCAATAAGCTATGATGAGGCAATGTTGGACATTGACTCAGATAAATGGCAAGAAGCTATGCAATCCGAAATAGATTCCATGTATTCAAACAAAGTATGGACTTTGGTTGATCCACCACAGGGTATTGTACCCATAGGTTGTAAATGGGTTTACAAGCGAAAACGTGGTGTAGATGGAGAAGTAAATACTTTTAAAGCAAGACTGGTTGCTAAAGGTTATACTCAAAAACAAGGTGTTGATTATGAGGAAACTTTTTCACCAGTAGCAATGCTTAAATCTATTCGGATATTGCTAGCCATAGCTGCGTATTATGACTACGAGATATGGCAAATGGATGTGAAAACTGCTTTTCTTAATGGAAATATTAAGGAAGACATTTATATGAAACAACCGCAAGGTTTCATATCCAATGGGAGTGAACAAATGGTTTGTAAACTTCAAAGGTCTATTTATGGACTTAAACAAGCTTCGAGGAGTTGGAATATTCGGTTTGATGAAACGATCAAAACGTTTGATTTTCATAAGAATCCGGATGAACCATGTGTTTATAAGAAGGTTAGTGGGAGTGCAGTTACATTTGTTGTTCTATATGTTGATGACATCCTACTCATTGGGAATGATGTAGGGATGTTGCAGTCAACTAGGACATGGTTGTCAAAACAGTTTTCCATGAAAGACTTGGGAGAAGCATCCTTTATCCTAGGGATAAAAATCTATAGGGATAGATTTAAACGGATGATCGGACTATCCCAGTCGACGTACATAAATAAGGTGCTACAACGGTTTAGCATGGAAGAATCCAAACGAGGATATATTCCAATGAGTCATGGGATTTCTCTTTCTAAGACGATGTCTCCAAAGACACCTGAAGAAAGAGAACGGATGAGTCATATACCTTATGCATCAGCTATTGGTAGCATTATGTATGCAATGTTATGTACAAGACCTGATGTGGCTCATGCACTTAGTGTAACGAGCAGATATCAGTCTAATCCAGGTGAAGAACACTGGAAAGCCGTTAAGATGATTCTTAAGTACTTACGAAGGACTAAGGATATCTTTATGGTATACGGCAATGGAGAACTGAAACTAGAAGGCTTTACTGATTCTGGTTTTCAGTCCGATAAAGACGACTATAAATCCATGTCTGGATACTTATTTACTCTGAATGGAGCAGCAGTTAGTTGGAAAAGTTCCAAACAAGAAACAATTGCTGACTCTACGACAGAGGCTGAATATATTGCTGCATCTGATGCTGCAAAAGAAGCTGTTTGGATAAGGAACTTTATCCAAGGGTTGGGTGTAGTACCATCCGTTGTTGATCCAATAATGATTTATTGTGATAACAATGGGGCTATTGCGCAAGCAAAGGAGCCAAGATCTCATCAAAAATCCAAACACATTATGAGGCGATACCATTTGATTAGAGAAATCATTGGTAGAGGCGATGTCGTGATGGAGCGAGTCGACTCAGCAGAAAATATAGCAGACCCCTTAACTAAACCCTTATCACAGAAAGTGTTCGAAGGACATCTTGAGAAGATGGGTCTTAGATACATGAGTGATTGGAACTAGGGCAAGTGGGAGATTGTTAGAGTAGGGTACCCGGCGTTCCAATCTAATTGGACGTATTCTACTTGTAAATACAGTCTATTGGAATTATATTATGAATAAGGCATTTCTTTATCTTAAGAGAAAGCATTTATCTTATAATTGCACTTAAGATAAAATCCCTAGATCACTTATGGTTATAAGGTATGGTTGCGCATAGAGATGGTGATCATGGAACATACCTTGAAAGCCGTGATCTTAAATACAGTTCCAAGTCGATGGATGTTTCGAGATGGGATATCGAATAATCCATAAAAGACTTGCACATAGTTTGTATGCTTGTTGGACAAGAATGTTGCATTCCATCAACATTAGCGTAAGACGTAAGTACATTTATGTGGGTGCTTGTTAGAGAACAAGTTCACTGAACATGACCGTATGAAAATTCTTAATGAAGAATTTATTCAGTCGAATAAGAATTTTCATGTTACAATAGTACATGACTAATCCTAAGACTTGAGGCACAATGGTAACTTTGTGCATATTACATTCTACTTTGATTTATCCTTTTGGTAGCTAGCACTATCGTTTAAAGGGATAAGTTGGGTATTATGTTAATATGTATGGAAGTTTGTTAGTGGCCAATAAAGGATTCGACACTTATGAAGATAAGTGAATTTCCTATGTGTTTCATAGTTATTAATCCAAAGTCCTTGGCCAAGGCAGAGATGAATAGTGATTCATAACCGGGTTAATAAACATGAAATAGAATCATAGTTATTAAGTCAATTTGGGTTTCGACAAAATCATACCCAAGACTTAATCGGGAAATTAGATGTCGAAAGGATTTTACATGTATGGAGTTGTAATCGGAATAGGTTTACTCGCTATTCACTTAATACTAGATTCATGCTACTTGCTAGGTGTTACCATGATATGTGGGTTCATAAATTAAAGGGTTAATTCATGAATAAGAGTTAATAAGATTTAACTCAAATTACAAAGTGTTGTAAACCCACTACTAGTATTAAGGTGAACCTAAAAGGTCACACTAATTATGAACAAAGGTAAAGATTGTATTTCTAATGGTTAGAATTAATTGATAAATATCTAATTTGATTAGATATCAATTAAAGGAATATATTAATCAATAAGATTGATTAATTACATTTTGGATATTACTTTAGTAATTAAGGTAATTACTAAATTAATAAAGTTGAATTTTAAAATAGGATTTTAAATTTCAAAAATCCAAAATAATAATAATATGATTATTATAATATTGGGAAAATGATATAATAATAAAGTCTTGAGAAAGATTCTCAAGATTTATTATCCAATTATTATTTATATCTTTAAATATGATTTAAGGATTAAAATAATAAATATGATTATAATAAAATGGTTGTTGATGGTTGTTTGAACTACTTAACATATCTTATTATTTTCAAAGTCAAAAGTTAGTAAATACTATTTAAATAAAATTTGATTTTATTTAATATTACTAAATGTTGATTATTTTATGCTAAAATGTTTAGTATAAATATATGCAAAATGGTTTTGCATTTAAGTGAAGTTTTTGATCCTAAATTTCTAAGTGTTAGAAAGAGAAGAAAGTGTTCTTCATAAAACTTCAAGAAAGAGTTCTTAAAATTCCCAAATAAAATTCATAAATATTCCTATACAAGAAAACCGAGTCTTTTCTACTAGCGAAGGAAAGTCGTCGGAACCGGGCTTCATAGGGTGGATACGTTTAGAGGGAAGACACTTGGATTCCTCTAGCGAGTAACCTCAAGTCGTTGAAGTTACAACCGGGAACCGATTCCCTCATCCATCATCAATAGTGAAGGAGTTCAAGACATTCGGTAAATATTTTTACTAGTATTTACTTTATAGTAACAAATCAAAATTTGTATATGATGCATGTTTTAAAGATGACGATCAGTTAATTCGCAATTAGTATGTACGGGTGTTGTATTTATACGATAAATACTTACTTTAAAAATTTTAAATTCCGCTGCGCACAGTCCGTACGGTACTAGCGAACCCAACACTATCCTCATTATCAGGTTTCCCTGTATAAACAACATCGGTACATGAAAATTAGAAGTTCATATCAGAACGTGTTAATCGTATGTTGAATGTATCATACCAGCACAACAAAAATACATTATACGAACATCATCATATACAAATAACTCGAAGCTGGAGCAATAAAAACAAATAAGGATTCAAAAACAGTATTCAAAACACATAATTCACGATGTCTCTGTAAAATGCTACATAAAGAATACAAGTGCCTGTACAATTGCACAAAAACCTTATAACGGAATTAAGATGAATGAAACAAAACAAAATACTATATAATCACCGAAATCTTGTACCCTTAAATTTCAATACACATAAACCCTAAAACATACTATTTCGCCTAAAAACCACTAAACATTAGACTGCAAGATGCTTGAAAATAATCAAGAAAAAGTGAAAAACACAATTCATTACCTGATTTCTTCGATTTGGAAGAGTTACCCATTGCGATTCTTACTTCGAACGCAGTGAACGAAGTTTGTATCAAATTTCTTGACCAGCAACTCTAATCTCTGAAAATTTAACAAAAATTAGCAAAAGCTCAGAATCATCGAACGTATTGCTCGTGAAAGAAAGTGATTCAATTTTTTTTTTCTTCTTACAACCGTTGCCCGCCCAACGTATACTCCTCAACTCAATGAGGAGTCACACCTTCAATGCGCAATGAATATGTCTGGAAGTTACGGTCATTCAATACCCTACCTATAAGTGAAATCTCGCATGTGCCCTTTGCCCACGAATAATTGTCCATACAGTTCATCATAATTACTTAAATGCCACCGCGAATTTTCATTTAGTAGGTCAAATCCTGATCGTTGAAACATCTAATCTAAGCGTCTATATTATTTCTCATTTCTCTCATTGGGCTCCTTTCTCATTTGAACACACTTCTATATATATATATATATATATGGATTTAGAAAGATGATGAACTATAGTAGGAGTTTCTTCTACTTTTCAATTGTTTATAGAATTTGTATAATTATCTTCAAAACTTAAAAAATATACTTAATAAAAACATTTTACAATCCAATAAAATATCGGAATCACAAAAATATTGAAAAAAATACAGTCCTTGTGAGAGAGGGAAAAAAGAAAGAAGTAAATAAATAAAGAAAGAAAGATAAGTGGCATATTCTGTTGGCTTCGCCTGCCAAATCTATATATATATAATAAGAATTAACATTTTTCAAAAATGCCAGGTCAATTCTATGGTCAAAGATGCTTAGTATTAATTACTTTCTATTAATGGCAATTTTTTTATATTTTAATTTAAAAACACGGACAACATCATTTGGAATTTGTTAAATTAATGACCACGTAATTTGTTAAATTAATTTTTATTTTCTATGTTTAAATCACAGAAATATTTTAGTCTTCTTATTTAAATTTCCAATGGTTTAATGGTAAAATGTTATGTAAATAGACTTAGATATATGTATCACATATCACTGCCTAAATTAATGATTTTATTATTTTTAAAACTAATAAATCTTAAATTGAATCTGATTTATTTGTTAAAAAGATATTTTGTATTCATCGTGTCATGTTCTATTGTAATTCAAAATTTCAAATTGCCGATATGAATATGAATTTGGATAGTTTAAAGAAACAAAATCCCTTATATGAAGAAATTTATTCCTTGAAAATATACATATTCTTTAAATTGCATAATCAATCAAGTGATCTTAATTTTTTGAAAATTACTATGTCTATTTTTTTTATTAATATGCATAAAGTAAAACTAATTAACTTCGGGTCTTTCCTCTCCTTAAAGTCGAGCTCAACGCGACAGGTCATAACAGATGCTCGACCAAAAGGAGAGGTACTTTTTATTAATATTCTTAAAGTAAAAATAATTAATTCATCTTTAGATATATAATTTATAATCTTAATGTACTATCATTCGGTGTAGATATTTATTATATGAATCATAAAATATTTTTATTTCATAGAAATTACATATATCAAAAAAAATAAGGAAATTTCTTTGGATCAATCAGATGATTAAATTAGGGTATTGTCCAAGTTGATTGTTTTACTTTTAGGTGATATTTAAAATAGTCAAAAAAATTGACACAACTTGATTGGTCTTAAAGTGACTAAGTTATCTATCTGTTTGATCAGACCAATTCGATTATTGAACCTAAATATAAATTTTAATATTAAAAATACTTTATTACTTGAATGTGATGTAGTCCAAACTTTAAATAATCATTTTAACAATATTTTTATGACAACATGGTTAATAATTTATAAATATTTATATATCATTTTATTAATTATTTTGTGAATAAAATAATATTTATTATAATTTTTATTAATGTACAAGAAATATAAGGTTTTCATAACCGGACCGTCATCGAAACGATCAAGTTATTTTATTAAATTATTTGTGCTCTGTTCAAATTTTAATTTATAAACATTTTAATATATATAACTCATCAAAAAGATCAAGTTATTTATTAAATTATTTGTGGTCTGTTCAGATTTTAATTTATAAATATTTTTATATATATAATACTTTTTGTAATAAATTTAAAGAAAAGGTGAGACTTAAATATCTAAACAATTTATAAATTCAAATGTTTAAACTATTGATAAAGAGTTTATAAATATCCATTTTATTTAAATATGTAATTTTATATAATTTTAAATGTAACCAAATTTATTTAGAAAATCGATATCGATCCTACCAGTCAAACCGACTGGTGTTGACAGATTCGATAGCTAATATTTTATTCAAGCAACTAGACTGGTTATAAGTCGGTTCTTGGTCCATCCGCCCGGACTGTGTCCAACCCGATTTAATTTAAAAACAATGAGTAAATCATGATTAATATTATATATATATTTAATTTATAATACAATTGTAATATTGTTTCCCCGTGCATCGCACTCACTAGTACTACAAACCTTTGAATTTGGCTAATAATGTAGTGAGCATCAATTTGAAATAAACAAATAGGCAAGAAATGGTATTGGGGGCACCAAAACCTGTCAGCTATTTGTCATCATCAGAAACAACAATTCCCGTTTTCACCATCATCATAGCATAATACCTCCACAATTCATTGATCATTCATTCTTTCACTCGTGATGCTGCACAACAAAATACACAATTTCCCTTTCGCACACGCTTTCTATACATCATCTATGCACAAGATTCTTTCTTTATAAACCACCCAATAACTCTGCAGTGCTTCGAAACTCGTACTTCCGTTCAATGCAAAGCAGCTCGCCATGTCAGTTGAACCCTGCGACCTGCAAATTCACGTCAATGGCCAACACACTTTCTTCCTCTCCCAGGTACTCATCAATCATCATTAAATATGCCCGCAACAAGCAGTATCTATGCCACAGTATGCAATTCTGATACTTGATTGAATTCCTCCATTTCCGTGCTTGCAGAAAATCCTGTCCAAGTTCTCCGAGAAACTTAGGAAGATAATCAAACGGGAGAAGAGTAAAACCCAGGTCACGACCTCGGCGATCGAGATTAATGGATTCCCGGGCGGGCCCCTCGGGTTCGAGCTGGTAGCGAGATTCTGCTACAACGACGGCGCCGTTTCAATCACCGTCGGCAACGTCTCTCTCCTCCACTGCTGCGCGGTGTTTTTCGAGATGACGGAGGACGCCGCCGCCGCCAACAACCTTTTCCACCAGACGGAGGTTTTTCTTCAGGGTATTTTCTACTGGTCCTGGCGCGAAATCCTCGCCTGCCTCAAGAACTGCGAGTCCTTCTTCACCTGTGCCGAGTCCTGCGGCCTCGTGGACCGGCTCATGTGTTCTCTTCTCGCCAAGATTGCACAGTATTCCGATTTTAATTTCCTTTCAGTCTCGTCTTCTTCATCTTCCTCATCTCCGGAGATGGCGCACGACATCCGCTCACAAGGCGTTTGCTGCAATTCCTCACTGAACAGAGGCCGACCCTGGTGGTTTCAAGATTTGACGATTTTGGGCCCGAAGACCATGGAGCAGTTCCTCCGGGCATTAGGGTGCTTTGGTACCGAAAATAACAATTTGATCCTAACGAGATTCCTCCTTCATTATCTAAAAACCGCAATCCTTTCAAATTGTGGGAAAATTGTTCTTGCGGATTACAGCAACCTTGCTAATACAGCGGCCCATGGGGTGATTCTCATTGGGAAAACCGGGTTTTCCTGCAGAGGACTTTTTTCTGCACTGCGGATTATTTCACGATTTGGGCCGAGCAGAAAGAACCGGGCCTCGCTGGAGAGGCTGATTGGGTCAATGCTTGACCGAGCCACATTGGATGATTTGTTGGTGACAGGTGGAGAGTGCCGAGAGGTTTATGATGTGGGCTTTGTCATCCGTTTGCTTCGGTTGTTTGTTCATTACAGTGATGAGGTGTCGATGCAGAAGATGAAGAGAGTTGGGGAGTTGATTGATGTTTACTTGGGGGAGATTGGCCCAGACCCGAATCTTAAAGTTTCCAAGTTTCTTGGTGTGGCTGAAGGCCTGCCAGATTGTGCAAGGGATTCATTTGATTATGTGTACAGAGCAATTGACATCTATCTTGAGGTGATTAAGCTTCCTTACTTTTACAATATTCTCTCTGCTCAGTGGATAAATGTGAAAAATAGAAAACTAACCATATAGCTTAGCTTAATTACAATAGTAGTTATCTTTGCCAATTATGAACACCCCTTTGAATTTGTCTTAGTTTATTTGTATAACTATTGAAGTATATACCAAGGTTATTATATTGAAGATAGCTAGGTTTTTTGTGACTATAAGCAAAACTTCAAAGGCTGGTGTTTTAATTAATCCTAATATTGATATTTCTTGGATGTCCATGTTCTTATCCATGTTATCTTTTCCTTGGGCAAGGAGATGGTGAATTATTGGTGTGGGGCTGGAGTCATAGTCATTGGGGGGACAAATAACAAGAGTCAAAAACAAATGCAAAAAAATGTTACATAAGACAAGGTCACAAGGGGGATTGTTTATTCTCTTGGAAGTTTGCATGTGTTTCAACTTCAAAAACTTCAAATGAATGGTTTAGGTTCCGAAAACAAAGTGCTGGAGTTACCTTCTCATCTTCCAAGAGTGAAGAGTACCTCACAATATATGTTACCGAAAAATAAGCATCAATTTAGTAAAGGGAGTTGAATCTTCGTATATAGTGTCAAGCCTAAAAATACCAAAGTTTTGTGTGCCAAAATGCATTTTGCATGTATCTTTTGTCTTTTATTCCAATTTCATGTGCTATGCTTGAAAGCTACATCTATTGAATAGCTACTAATTGTCATCATCTGAGCTTTTAGAGATGCATAATATTCAAATTAGTGGTTTGGCTAAAGCTTTTGTTGTCTGATAAAATATTCCCAGTAAGTTCAAATAAAAATCTACAGGCTGGTCAATTACTATCTGCTCATGTTCTACTGTTTATGATGAGAGAAAAAAGTACTTTGCCACTTATAGCAAGTTCACAGCCTGCATTTGGGGCTCAACAGATAATTTTTAGTAACAGCATTCAACTGCAACATGAAATAATTGTAGTCATTGGGTTTTCACTCCTTTCTCAAACATTAATGTCTTTATGAATAAATATGCAAACCAATTTGCAGGGCCATATGAAAATACAACTGTGTCAACTCATTATGGATACACCATTTAAGGTTCTTTTGTAAAAATGGCCTTATACCATTTAAGTAATACTGCTTTTTATAGAATTGGAAATGTTTTGTCGAAAATTTCCCAGATAGGCATTAACCTCTAAAAACGTGACTTTTTTTTGTTTTAATTATTTTGATTTTTCAATTTCAGTAATTCTTGAAATGTAATTGCAGTCCCACCCATCTCTTTCCTTGGAAGAACGATCAAGACTGTGTCGATGCCTCAACTACAGAAAGCTAAGCCTGGAAGCCTGCAAAGACCTTGCCAAGAACCCAAGAATACCTCCAAGAATTGCGATTCAAGCACTAGCTTCTCAGCACTCATCCATACAAACAGTTGAATTTGCAGGGAATGACAGTTCAAGCCCAAGGAGCAACAGTAAAGACACCAACAACAACAACAATGAGCATCAGCTTGTTTTGTACAAACAAGAAGATGGTTTAGAAAGTTTTTCAGACGTTGAAAGCTTGCCGGAAGGAGAGGAAATGAGAGTGAACTTGGAGAGGATGCAGTGGAAAGTGGTGGAGTTGGAGAAAGTGTGTAGAGAAATGAAAGGTCAAATGGCGAGAATGGTGAAGCTTGGCCCTCACTACAATTCTAGGCCACTGCCTAGGTTGTGTTGATAGGTGTTGTTTGGTCCGCATATANTTAGTGGTTAGTTTGGTTAGTAATTGTTAGGTGAATTTTTTTTTTTTCCAACAACAAACAAACTTCAAATAAACTCAAATAGTAAGTTTACACCACGATCACTCAACTGAGTGCACGCAAATAGCTCCCCTACAATGGAAAAAACTACCTGCTACGAGGAATTAACACTCAAATCCCCCTTTCCAGGGCCAAATCAAAAGAAGCACAACAATACAATTTATCACAAACAAATAAACAAGAGCAAAATGATTGGACCAGAGATTCAATATCTGCTGTTAAGGCCAGCAAGTTAATGTCAGCAGAAGTTTTATAATTCAGCAGTTGGGCAATCTCCAAAGAATCAATGCAGCATATAAGTGATAACATACTAGTCCTCCAACTTTTGACAGTATCCATCTCACAGCTCTTAGGAGTGCCTCCTCTTTGTTTTCTGCTTTTTCAGACCGGGCCTGCCATTTGTGTATTTGTTGACCTTGTTTTTCCATAATTCCCCAAACCCAACCACACGATTTGGAAGCAGACAAGCACTGACAGTGATGATCTCCTGTCCTACCTCTGCATTCCCATCTCTCTGATTTCTGCACTCCTGAACCAATTGATTCATACCTATTGATCCACTCCCCATAGTAACTTCTTCAAATTCCCTCCATTCTTTCCATGCTCCATCTACTATATCGTTCCCACTGAATCTTTCCTTATTGAATATCCAAGCATTTCTTGTTCTCCACAGTCACCATAGGAGATAAGTAGATAAGTTTATCCTGTCTGCATAGCACCCTTCCCCTTTCCCTGTACATAGACTCTCCCACCAGTTTTTGAAGTTAATGGTTGGATCTTCAAGTTGAACCCAATGGACCCCTAGGAGTTTCCAGAAGATTCGAGCTCTATGACATTTGAAAAAGATATGATCTGCATTCTCCTGATGTTCCCCACATAAGCTGCAAATACCATCTTGTACAACCTTTCTCTTCAACAATTGATCATTGGAATTTAAATAACCATACCAGCTTCTCCACAGGAAGTTTTTTATTTCGCCTTTGATTGGAAGTTTCCAAGTGACTTTCCACATAATCTGTTCTTTCTCATTCCCTGCACTTGTCCAAATCATTTGCTTTTGAAGCTGGTGTTGCTCCATAAAAAATTTGTACACTTCATTCACCTTAAACAGGCCTTCCTTATTCCAGCTCCATACCAGTTTATCTTTGGTCCCTGTATGACTGATAGGAGTTTTCAGAATTTGTAAAGCATCTTGAGAACAAAAAGTTTGATTTATAAGATCCACATCCCAACTACCCCTACTCTGATCAAATAGGTCTCGCACCTTCCTAAGCCTACCTCTATCACTAGGAAACTGAGAAGAAGGGATAAAATTCTTGGACTTAGAAAACCAAGGAGATTCCCAAATGTCAATAGATTTGTCATCCCCTACTTGGTACCTAATACCCATCTTCAAAGTCTTTCCAGCAGCTAGCCAGCTGTTCCAGAGCCAGGAATCATTATGCTCAGGTTTGACCTCAAATAATTTCTGACCTAAAAAATATGGCAAAATTGCACCTCACATCACGACCTTTTCGACTTTTGAGTTTATGTCACCACTTTGCGACTTTGGCAATTTGATACCCAACCTTTTGGTAATTTGCAAGACCAAGCATTGACCACATTACCGGCCGACCAATGCCAACCTGTCCGCCATTTAATCCAACATGGCTCTGATGTTGACGACGTGGCTCAGGCAACATATACATGTCAGCAAAACGACGTCGTTTCTTTGATCCAACTGTTATAAAACCGAAACATCCCCAAACTCAAATCACAAATCCCTAAATTCATCCCTAATCTTCGACGTGCGGCCCTATCTTCGACAAGAAATTGTTCCTTCAGCTACAAAGAATCACTGCAATCTCTATCTTCGACCCTCCCTCCACACATGGCAACAAGCTCCACCAACAGTGGAGCTTCGAATGGAAGTGCAACCCACAAACAAGTCCGTTGTTACTGTCCAGATGAGGCCGATTTGCTGATCTCGCAAACTGATGCAAATTCGGGTCGAAGATACTTTCGTTGTCCACGTCGAAAGGTAAGTTTTATGGACAGATTTTACTCTAATTTTTTAGAAATAATTCGAAACATGATGGACAAATTTTGCCCGATTTTTTTTTTTAATTCGTCATAAAATAATTTTGATGTTTGTAATCTAATGATTGTATTGTAGTTTAAGGACTGTAAGTTCTTCTTATGGTGTGATCCTGAGATTCCACCATCTCAAAAGGCTGCTTTTTTGAAGTTCAAGAATGAAAGGAAAGGTTTGGGTGATGAATTGAAATGTAAAGAAGAGGAGGTCAAAATGATAACCAAAAGATTGGATATCATAGAAAGAGAGATGTTGGAGCTGCAGGTGAAACATGCTAAATTGGAGGAGTTTATAGACACACTTGTTAAGAAGGAGAAGTTTTCAACTTCATTTGTAATGTTCATGTTGGCTTGTGTTGTTCTTCTGTTAGTGCTAAAGTAGATGCAGGTTAATGTGACTTTGGGTGTGTTTAGAAGGTTAATGACTTTTGATTGAAGGTGTACTTTGGGTGTGTGAGAAGGTTGATGACTTTTGATTGAAGGTGTGCAAGGTGTGCTGATGAATATTGTGTTCTTGGTTTTATGATTGAAAGAAGATGTGATCTTTCACTGAACTTATGTATTTTAGTTGTTATTATTAGTTAACTGAAGACCTTATTATTCATATGTGTCTTTTACATTACAATGGTGGAGATGAGGTTTTCTTTCTGTTGTTTAGGGGACATGATAATGTGTATTGTGTTTATGTTTTGTGTTAATTCATTCACATAGTATTTACATACCTATAAATAATGAAGAGCACCAAAAAACACCAAACAAAAAACACCAAACAATAAGTAATGAAGAGCACCAAACTATCCAGGTGCATTTGGATTAAAACCAACAAAAACCATTACTTCTGTCAACAACTCTGAAAATAGTTAACATCATCTTTGTCCACACATCCAACCAAAAACATAATCTTTGTCCAAACATCCAAGCAAAACCAAGTATCAATACATGAAACAACTAAGAAAATAGTTTGTGACCAATCATCCCAACAACTAACATCCAACAAATGTGTCACCAAAAACCAAACCAAACATCCATTGAACTAACTGACTGCACTTTCTTGAGTGCCAATGGTGTGACCTCTGCCACTTCTAGTCCTTCCACTGCCACCTCTACCAGTTCCTCTATGTGAGCTACTTCCACTGGCACTAGCACTGCCACTACTCTCACCTCTACCTGATGGGCCTCCATGTACAAAATGACCTCTTCTTGCAGTGGACATCTATTGAAACATAAACATAAACATGACTACATAACCTCATGTAAATATTGCCAGTCTGCTCAGATAAAGATAAAATTTATACCCTCATGTAAATATTGCCAGTCTGCTCAGACACCAAGACTCCATAACCTTTTTTTGCCTGTCATAAAAATATAAATGTCTTTTAATGTTCACCAATGAAGATTAAAACCAATGAAGATTAAAGGAGCAAAATTAGAAAAATATAAAAGTTACCAAATTGCGTTCTTTGTGTATTTAACTCCCATGATCATTTAAAGTCGGTTCAGTCTGAGTCAACCTGGGAGATTTCCTAATTGGTTGTTTCATAGCAGATTGAGGAGCAACTGGAGGAGCTGTTTCAGTTTGTGTATATGCTGGTGGAGGATTCTCAGATGCAGAGGGTTGTGGCACTAAGTTCTGAGCTGGTGGAGTTTTTCTTCTTGGTTCTTTCTTCTTCATTTGACTCTGCATAAAACATAAGCATTAGAGCTTATATTTTCCAATTCACTAAATTCTAATTTTGAATACAATTTGAGATCAAATCACTTTACCTTCTTTGGGTTCTGAACTGAGGCATTAGAGCAACTCTTCCTATTATGGCCAGTTTGAAAGCAATTTTGGCAAGTCATTTGCAATCCAAACCTTTTTAGCTTTGTGCTACTCTTTGCCTCCTCCTCAGGTGCTCTTTTTCTTGATTTTTTTTTTTGGTCTCCCAGGCATCCTTCTAAGAGTAGGTGGTTTGATTGGATAACCAACAGCTTCAGGCCACATTTTTTTACCATTGAGAGGCTCAAGTCCTTTTGAATAAGATGTAATATACCTCTCAACATAGTAATAAGGATGCACATAGTCACCCACATCATGCTTCAGCCAGTTTATTGCTGCACATGCATGAACACAAGGGATCCCACTAACATCCCAAGATCTGCATGTACATGTCATCTCTCTCAAGGATACAACAAGCTGGTCTTCTAACAACTGAACTTGGAATTTTTCTCCTAAGGCTGGCTTGGTACAACAAAGCCTACTCTTATACCTATTTTCCTCAACCTTAACTCTAATCCTAGGACAAATCTTATCAGTAATGCCACAAATCAACTTAAGCTTATCATGTTGCCTCTCCATCACATAACTTCTAATGCTTTCTAGCATCTGCACAATGGGTTCCTTTCTAGCCTTCACAATGGTGCTATTAAATGTTTCACAAACATTATTCAAAATCATATCACACTTAGGAGATTCTGAAATAAAACACTTACAGAACCTAAAAGTCTCTTTTGTAAAGAAGTCCTTGAAGTCTTTATCATCTACTGCTTTCAAATTCTCAAGTGCTTCCTTGTATTCAGCCTCATATGTGCTATGCACAAGCTTCCAAAAGCAATTCTTCAAAGTCTGCCCTTTGTGAGTTTTTTTCCAGTTCATGTACACATGCCTAGCACAATTCCTGTGCTCAGCATGTGGGGCATAAGTCCTGACAGCATTCATAAGTCCCTGCATAATATGAATAAACAAAATATCAACTCTGTAATAGATGAATATTGTACATATGTAAAGTATTATTCTAACATTTTGTTGATCACTTATGATAGTCCAGCCCAAATCATCCCTTATTTTGAGCTCTGAAAATAGTTTTTCCAAGAACCATGACCAAGTAAATTCATTCTCCATGCAAACAACTCCCCATGCAATTGGGTAAATCTGATTATTTCCATCTTTGCCCACTGCACACAACAAGACACCTCCTAAAGATGTCTTCAAGAAGCAGCCATCTAATCCAATCACTGGTTTGCATCCTTGTAAAAACCCATCCCTCAATGCACTAAACCCAACATACATGGCCTTGAAAAGGCTGCCCTCTTCCAAAAGAACTTCAAACCTCCCAGCCCTATCAACTCTCATCAACTCAGCAATGTAGCTTCTTAAGCACTTATAATGCTCTTCTTCAGATCCTCTAATCATGTCCAATGCCTTCTTCTTTGCTCTATACAACTTCCATTTTGAAGGCTGAACAGCATACTTTTCAAGTAGGTACTCCTCTAACTCAGCAATCTTCATTCTTGGCTTCTTTCTAAATTTGTTAATGCATTCTTTAGCAATCCACCTAGCATTAGCTTGTCTTGTTCTAATGTCCCTGGTACAACTGTGCTTTGAAACAAAAGTCTTCATTGCAACTCTTCATTCAGCCTTGATTTCACTAGCATATATCTTCCAAGGACAACCATCAATGCACTTGGCCTCTACCTGATGTTGATTCACTCTCCAAAATTGGAAATTACACCCATTATACACAACATAACTTTGAATGGCCTCTTTACACTGAGCAATGTTCTCAAATTGCATTTCAAGCTGAAATGCCAGTGCCTTGTGATCACAATTTGGGTCATACAACACCATTTTCATCTTTTTCCTTCTCTTGTTGTCTTCAATATCCTCACTATCATCATTTGATGTGTTTGAATCAATTTCATCTGAGTCTCCATACTCTGATGCATCATACTCTCTGAATAGTTCACTTGGATCACCATTGGTGGGTCCACTCTGAGAGTCATCTTGTGTACTGTTCATTTTCTTGTCACCAAAAAACCTTGTTTTCCTTGCTAGAAGGTACTCCTCATCATTAGTTCCCAAGTCACCCTCAGAAAGTCCACCTTCACTAGAACTCCAATCTGATGGGTTATAATCATCATCATCACTCTCATCATTATCATTATCATCATCAACATCATCAACACAAGTAGGTTGAACATGATCAGTGGTTCCTCCTGCCCCCTTTTCACCAGCATTATTGATCACAGATTCTTCTGAAGCCTTTTTCTGCCCATCTTTTTCATTATCAACAAATAGATGAACATAGAATTTGTTGGGCTGCAAACTCCCAATCACCTCCATCAATGTAGCATCATTGTGGATATGTATGTAACTAACCGATCCATTTTCTCCACATATCTTATGATAAATTTTGCCAACCTCAACATAACCAAGTTTCTCAACTACATCTACTAAATCCAAATAACCAAACCTGTCAATATCAATACCATGGCTGATGTGAATATCTCCTCCAAAATACTCCATCGCATTATCCAGCATAACAAACTTCCCACCGTGATTGACAAAGATTGATAATTTTTCTCTGAAAAAACATAGAGTATACGATTTCTTCAGAAATCAGAGAACCTTCATCAACATACTACACCTAAATGAACCCAAATCTATCAATTATAAATAAATAATGCATAATGCACTTATATGAAAACAAAAAACAAAGAAGAAGAGAAGAGATGATGTTTCAAACCTATCCTTCAGTTGCAACAATTTCTAGGGTTCTTCAGAAAGTTGTTTCAACAAAAACAATCGACTCTTGGATTTATACAGAATCAACTTCCCATTTACAAAGAAAATAGGGTTCGGAAAAGGATTTCAAATTTGCAGAGAAAAATTTGGGACTGTAGATTTTCAGTTGAAGGGTTTTTTTGTTGAATTGGGTTTGGGTGTCGATTAGGGATTCCTAATGTATTTAGGATTGATTTTGTTTGTCTTTTTTTATTTTATTTTATAAGAACAGTTGGATTTGCTGACATGTATATGTTGCCTGAGCCACGTCGTCAACATCAGAGCCATATTGGATTAAATGGCCGGACAGGTTGGCATTGGTCGGCCGGTAATGTGGTCAATTCTTGGTCTTGCAAAGTACCAAAAGGTTGGGTATCGAATTGCCAAAGTCGCAAAGTGGTGACAGAAACGAAAACGTCGAAAAGGTCGTGATGTGAGGTGCAATTTTGAGAAAAAATATCTACCCCTAATTACCTTACTCATCGGGAGGTTAGGTTGAGTTAAAACTCTCCATATTTGTTAGCTATTAGAGTTTCATTAAACACTCAGAGTTCTTAAAACCCATCCCGCCTCTCTCCTTAGACCTAGCCAACCCCTCCCAATAAGACCAATGAATTTTTCTGTTCCCAGCCTCAAAAGTACCCAACCAGAAATTGGCAATGATCTTACAAATATTCTGACAAAATGAACTGGGAATCCTATAGCAAGACATAAAATAGGTGGGTAAAGCTTCCAAAATAGATTTAATCAAGGTCTCTCTACCTGCTTCACTCAAAAAGCCATTTTTCTAATTATTCACCCTGTCAGCAACATACTCACTCACATATTTAAATGTATCTTTTTTAGAATTACCAAGGCCTAAAGGTAGACCAAGGTATTTGGAAGATTGCACTCTAGAAATCCCATTAAGCACTAGACAAATCTCACCTTGGATATCCTCAGAGGTGTTCTTAGAGAAGAAAGCAGAAGATTTATCCAAATTGACCATTTGGCTTGTTTTGTACAAACAAGGAGCAACAGTAAAGACACCATCAACAACAACAATGAGCATCAACTTGTTTTGTACAAACAAGAAGATGGTTTAGAAAGTTTTTCAGACATTGAAAGCTTGCCGGAAGGAGAGGAAATGAGAGTGAACTTGGAGAGGATGCAGTGCAAAGTGGTGGAGTTGGAGAAAGTGTGTAGAGAAATGAAAGGTCAAATGCCGAGAATTGTGAAGCCCTAGGTTGTGTTAATATGTGTTGTTTGGTCCATGTATATGTTTTTTTTTTTGGGTCTTTTATGTGTCCAANTAGTTTGGTTAGTAATTGTTAGGTGAATTTTTTTTTTTTCCAACAACAAACAAACTTCAAATAAACTCAAATAGTAAGTTTACACCACGATCACTCAACTGGGTGCACGCAAATAGCTCCCCTACAAAGGAAAAAACTACTAGCTATGAGGAATTAGCACTCAAATCCCCCATACAAGCCTCCAGGGCCAAATCCAAAGAAGCACAACAATACAATTTATGACAGACAAATAAACAAGAACAAAATGATTGGGCCAAAGATTCAGTATCTGTTGTTAAGGCCAATAAGCTAATGTCAGCAGAAGTCATATAATTCAGCAGCTGGGCAATCACCAAAGAATCAATGCAGCATATAAGTGATGACATACCAGTCTTCCTAGCTTTTGACAGTATCCATCTCACAGCTCTTAGGAGTGCCTCCTCTTTATTTTCTGCTTTTTCAGACCGGGCCTGCCATTTGTGTATTTGCTGACCTTGTTTTTCTATAATTCCCCCAAACCCAACCACACCATTTGGAAGCAGACAAGCACTGACAGTGATGATCTCATGTCCTACCTCTGCATTCCCATCTCTCTGATTTCTGCACTCCTGAACCAATTGATTCATACCTATTGATCCACTCCCCATAACAACTTCTTCAAATTTCCTCCATTCTTTCCATGCTCCATCTACTATATCCTTCTCCCTGAATCTTTCCTTATTGAATACCCAAGCATTTCTTGTTCTCCACATCCACCATAGGAGATAAGTAGATAAGTTTATCTTGTCTGCATAGCACCCTTCCCCTTTCCCTGTACATAGACTCTCGCACCAGTCTTTGAAGGTAATGTTTGGATCTTCAAGTTGAACCCAATGGACCCCCAGGAGTTTCCAGCAGATTCGAGCTCTATGACATTTGAAAAAGATATGATCTGCATTCTCCTGATGTTACCCACATAAGCTGCAAATACCATCCTGTACAACCTTTCTCTTCAACAATTGATCATTGGAATTTAAATAGCCATACCAGCTTCTCCACAGGAAGTTTTTTTTTATTTTGCCTTTGATTGGAAGTTTCCAAGTGACTTTCCACATAATCTGTTCTTTCCCATTCCCTGCACTTGTCCCAATCATCTGCTTTTGAAGCTAGTGCTGCTCCATCAGAAATTTGTACACTTCATTCACCTTAAACAGGCCTTCCTTATTCCAGTTCCATACCAGTTTATCTTTGGTCCCTGCATGACTGATAAAAGTTTCCAGAATTTGTAAAGCATCTTGAGGACAAAAAGTTTGATTTATAAGATCCACATCCCAACTACCCCCACTCTGATCAAATAGGTCTCTCACCTTCCTAAGCCTACCTCTGTCACTAGAAAACTGAGAAGAAGGGATAAACTTCTTGGACTTAGATAACCAAGGAGATTCCCAAATGTCTATAGATCTGCCATCCCCTACTTGGTACCTAATACCCATCTTCAAAGTCTTTCTCGCACTTAGCCAGCTCTTCCAGAGCCAGGAATCATTATGCTTAGCTTTGACCTCAAATAATTTCTGACCCCAAAAATATCTACCCCTAATTACCTTACTCATCCGGAGGTTAGGTTGAGTTAAAACTCTCCATAGCTGTTTAGCTATTAGAGTTTCATTAACCACTCTGAAGTTCTTAAAACCCATCCCTCCCCTCTCCTTAGACTTGGCCAACCTTCCCAATCACACCAATGAATTTTCCTGTTCCCAGCCTCAGAAGTACCCCACCAGAAATTGGCAATGATCTTACAAATATTCTGACAAATTGAACTGTGAATCCTATAGCAAGACATAACATAGGTGCGTAAAGCTTCCAAAATAGATTTAATCAAGGTCTCTCTACCTGCTTTACTCAAAAAGCGATTTTTCCAATTATTCACTCTGTTAGCAACATACTCACTCACATATTTTAATGTCTCTTTTTTAGAATTACCAAGGCCTAAAGGTAGATCAAGGTATTTGGAAGATTGCACTCTAGAAATCCCATTAAGCATCAGACAGATCTCACCTTGGATATCCTCAGATGCGTTCTTAGAGAAGAAAACAGAAGATTTATCCAAATTGACCATTTGGCCAGAAGCATCCCCATAATCCTGAAGAATATGCAGAATAGACAAAGCATGCTAGATGTCAGCTTTACAAAATAAGATAGAATCATCCGCAAAGAATAAATGTGAATTGATAGGGGAGTGTTTTCCAATTTTAATACCAGAAAAAGTTTTAAGAGTGCATGCTTGAGAAATGAGATTAGAAAATGCTTCAGCTACAATCACAAACAAATAGGGAGACAAGGGGTCCCCTTGTCTTAACCCTCTAGTAGGAACAACATAGCCCAAAGCATTCCCATTAACTTAAATGAAAAGGAAGAAGAGCACACACAAACAATAATCCAAGACACAAAGAGATTGCAGAAACCCATTTTTTTTACAGATTTTGGCCAAAAAATTTCATTCAACCCTGTCATAGGCCTTGGCCATATCCAGTTTTAAAGTCATATACTTATCTTTGCCAGTTCTTTTGCTCTTAAGGAAATGAATGCATTCATTAGCTACGACTACATTATCTGTAATTTGAGTGTGAAGTTCTGAATAGAAGGTTAATAATTTTGTTGGTAAAGAAAATGTCTTTGGGGGCAGCTTTGGCAAACTTACATCAGCTCCATGTGTTGAATATCAACCACAAGATTTACTACAATTTAAAATAGGTTTAACGGCTACAAGAAAAAAAATGACAAATAAATTTAGTTTGCAATCAAAAGTTACACTATTTCACCAGCAGCAGTGCTAGGTGTATAGAAACTTTTGCACATAGATTACAGGGGTCTAAAATTTGATGAGGTGGCATACCATATTATATTATATAACTAATTAAAACTCGTCTATTTTCTTTCTATAGTTAACATAAAATTAAGGAGTAGAAGCACATTTTTCCTCTTGATTCCTTGCTATTTTCTCAGCGAGCATAAATATTCCTAAAATTCTCGTTATTTTCTTCTGCTTCACATGTGAACCTGGTGGTATACAACGTTCTGTGAATTGATTTTTTTTTCTTTTCACAAAATCTCATCTTAACATGTGAACTTGGTGGTATGCAACGCTCTGTAAATTGATTTTTTTTTTCACAAAATCTCATATTAAAATGTTGTGACATAAATGAACTTATTTTTTAGTTTAATTTTGAAATTAGTTGATTTTTTATTAATAAATTACACTAGTACATTTTTTATGTATTGAACAGACCTTGGAGTATAAGATTATTTTATACTAACAAAGTAAATAATCTATACCTCACTTATTACTGCATACTCTTTACCCGTAAGATAATAAACGAGCATACGTGTTTGGTTATTATTTATTTGATTTACCAGAAGTGAGATCTATTACAAATCAATAGCCTCCGTATTTTGATAAATAATTATGATCACATGATGTGCCATTAACATTATTTACGTCATTTTTTTCCGGTGCGTCGAGTTGACGGCGTCCTCAAAATAAGCTCAAGAATGATTATTATGTCAAGCCCTACATGCGGAATGAATTTCGAAATAATAATAAACAAATGTGTGGTACTAATTTTGAATCAAGAAGTTGATTAATTATATTGTCTGTAATTATATTAATTAACGAATGTATATCTTAAAGAGGTAAATTAAGTTAATAAAACTGGAGACGAATTAGTTATAATTTGTGGTTAAACTGAAAGTTCAATAATGTTTATTTATGTAATGAAATATTATTCATGTGGATTAAGTGTAGGTCCACCAGAATCTACATTTTACTAATCCATGAGGAGTCTTAATTTAACACCTCTTTTAGGTCCATGTTGTAACCTATAAATACAAAAAGTCCCTTTGAAGTCCCCCTACGCATACACGAGTAAAATCAAGAGAGAATTCAGATATCTCAAAAAATTGTGGGAGTATCATGAGACCTAGGCAAAAAAATTGAAGACAATTTGATCTTCGTTGTTTTTCCCCAAGATCGATCGGCGTGAGCTTCAAATGGAAATTTGATGAGTCGCCCACGAAAACATACTGGGAGTATGTGATCGGCACTAGTGAAAAAAACACTTTTTATATTGGTTGAAAATGACTATTTATAAAGTGTCCAACTTCGATATAATTTCAGCCCTTATAGTAAGTGTTACCTTTGTATATCGGGTTAAACCGCATATAGATAAATTACTTTCTACATTGGGTCACATTAGCTCTTATATAGAAAAGACAAATAACATATGAAAATTTGAATTATGGAATACCCAATATTGTAAATATATATTCTATATCGGATAAACAAATGCACCATATAAAAGATATCTTGTTATATGCGTTACATTTTGTCAATGTTTTGAAAACCGGACCGGACCAGCCGGTTCGACCGGTTGGACCGGGAACCGGACATAGTACCGGCCCGGTTTGAGTGTTTGAACAGCTGGGAGCAAGAACCGCTATTGAACCGGTCGAACCGGTTAAAAACCGGAAAAAACCGGTGAACCGGTAACGGTTTGGCCGGTCCAGCGGTTCTTAAATTTGAAGTGAAAAAATTGGATTTTGGCAATTTGGGCCGTGACTTGTTGGAATTTTGGCAATTTCGCACCAACCCAACCCAATTATTTACTATCTTGAGATTTTTGCAAGCTCAATATTAAAAGAAAAAAGAAACTTAAACAAAAAAAAGATTAATGAATTAGTATTGCTTATGGTAAATTATACTTAAAATATTGATTATTAAGTTCTTATTTAGAAAAATGTCATTATATGCTATAAAATTAATGATAAAAATATATACAATTATATGTTATACATATAAAATAAAATAACTATTTATATATTAATTAAACCGGTTCGACTACTGGCCGACCAGCGAACCATTGAACCAATAGCTCCACCGGTTCGATGACCGGTCCGGTTTTCAGAATATTGCATTTTGCACCCGATATAGAAGATTGGATTCTATGTGTTGTATTTTGAACAAATACAAAAAAAACGTAAGATTCTATGTGTTGTATTTTGAACGGACATAAAAAAATATAATTTTTATATCGTACATGATCACCCGATGTAAAAGGTATTGAAATGATCAATTCTTCTTTTCTGTTTTCTTATACATGTTTAATTTGAAATCAATTGTATCATCAATACAAATAAATAAATAAAAAACATACTAACATTAGTTCATTATCAATAATACCAACGAAGTTTAACATTTACCAAAAGGCTATCAATACTAGCAAACTCAAACAGTTCATCATGCATCAAATATTCCAAACAAAAGCATGCATAGTCTCCTATTTTCCCAATGAGGTAATATCGAGAAAAATACTTGGTCCACCGTCTCCGTATATCATCAATTTCTTCTTTCAAATCAAACAACTAATCGAAAAACCATAAATAACAATAGATCAAGCCTTAAAGAACATAATCTTTACTTCTAATATAATATACTCTCGATATTTAAGTGTTTTATTATTATTATTATCCAAATTACCTTATCAAAGCCGTCAACAACGTTGAATGTTATGATTTCTAGAACACATTTAAACTCATAAGAAGCTCAAAAACTTACACTACAGGAAAATAATGAAATTTCAATGGAAATATATTTCAATAGAATTCCAACGACAATTCCAATGGATATTTCAATGCTATTATTTCCGTTGGAATAATTCCAACGAAAATTCCAACAAAAATATTCCGTTGGAATGAGTTTTCCATTGGAATTTCCGTTAGATTTTGACGATTCCAACAGTAGATTTTCCAACGATGGTGGAAATAAAAATTCTAACGGAAATTGCATATTTCAACGGAAATTCTTACGGCCAAAAGCCGTTGAAAATATAGCCGTTGGAATCATCAAATTCCATCTAAAATTCTGATGAAAAATACATTCGAACGGAATATTTTTATTACAATTTCAGTTGGAATCATTCCAACGGAAGTTATACCATTGAAATATCCGTTGGAATTTCTATTGAAATATATTACCATAGGATTTTCCATTGAAATATAATAATTTCTTTGTAGTGTTATGACATATTCAACGATTTCTAGAAAACATTTAAACTCATAAGAAGCTCAAAAACATATGACATATTGAGCCAGTAACCATCACATTGGCCACGTAAACATAACAAACTACATAAAATATTACAAGTAGATAAAATTTCCAAATGACAGTAAAAATGAAGATAGGTCAAAAAAAAAAAGCAAGAAAGTAGAGGAAGGTTCGCCCCTTGGCAAAAGAAATATATGAATGCACACGCACACTTTGTCAAAGAGGTTGAAATAATGTATGCCTCATTGTAGTTACAAAAGCCACTCTTACATCAAATAGTCTAGAGTACAGTCACCTATTGCTTGCTGGTAGTCAAATTAGATTGAAAGGCAGCATGCCAATCAGTACGAAATTGTAGAACTAACCAGTGTGACTGAGTTTGAAGTTAATTGCATCATTCTTTTGCTACTGAAAAAGTGCATACATCACTAATGTAAGAACTAGTATACAACCTCTTGGGAAGGCCCAATCTGTGAGAAGTGAACTAACACAGAAATCAAATTAAGTTGTAGCAGTCCTGCTATGGAGCCAACCGTTGGCTCCATTATAGAGCCAACTTGACTGAAAAACAGATTCTGAGAATCCGTTTTTCAATTAAATTTATTTGAAAAACGGATTATCAGAATCCGTTTTTCAGTAAAGTTGGCTCCATAGCATTTCCATAAGTTGTAGTTCAATAACCATATTGAGGAATTTAAATTCATCTAATTGATTTTATGTAAATTTTTTGAAGATACAATGATTGATTCCGAAATTCACTTGGGCACCATACAAAGAACATGTTTTTATACCTTACATACCATTTTCACCAAAAAAAGAAAGCTATTTATATATGTTGAGATGCAAATATAGTGTATAAAAAAGAAAGCTATTTATATATGTTGAGATGCAAATATAGTGTATAAAAAAGTTTTAAACTTGGGTAACTATTTTAAATTTTTAATATTCTACATGTTTATATTTTTTATGTTTAATAAATCCCCCTATATATTAATTCCATATATATTAATTCAGAGCGTGTTGAACTTAAATGGCAGGCTTGCATGCTTCGGGATCTTATGTGACAAAATTACATGCTTTTTAGGCTTGAGTAGATTTTAATTTACTTCAAATCCAAAATTAATTAGGTTTAGAGTATCCATAAATATGTTGATTATTTATGGTAATGTTACATGTATAATTGCATTTTAATATCATTTCTTATTGTAACCATTTATTGTAAATATATTTTAAAAGTTAAATAACTTTTGTATTTTTTATCAATTTTACATATATAATATATCAAATTAATCATCTCTTGATGAACTTCGATTTAACATCCATATTGTATGTATAATATAAAATAAATAAATTATATAAATTTTTATAACAATAATAAAATATTTATTAATATTAATTAAAAAATTAAATTATTTATCAATTAATATATTTATATTTCAAGTAGTGATATGATATAAGTTATAAAATTATTATAATATAACACATTTAAGACGCACACGTAACAAATGTCATTCTAAAATATATAATAATATGTATTTTTTGTAAAAGAATAAATAAAACTTAAAATAATTTTTTTTTATTAATTTTAAAGTTTAAGAATAATTTTTTAACAAGTACCCGTGTGATACATGGGTGTTAGCAGTGATTAATTATACTTGGCCAAAAATTCATACCACCTGTCGCTAAGTATAATTTACTAATAAATTAAAATGTAGAAATTTAAATTTGTCCGTAACCGTTACCCAAACTTGTGTGTTTCATTTCATGTCTGGCGCTCCAAACATCCTGAATCTCGCTCTCCGCCACCTGTCGCCACATAACCCGCCGCCATTGACGCCTCTGAGGAAACTTGAGCAAATCCACGCTCTTCTCATCGTCTCCGGCGTCATTTCCCGCCACACTTCAACCAGAATCCTCCTCCACTGCCTCTCCCTCCCTTTCTTCCCGCCGCCCTACGCTCTCTCCATCTTCGCCCAAATACGCCCACCAGATGTCTTCACCTACAACGCCCTCATCCGAGGCTTCAGCTCCGACCCTCAGAAAGCCGTTTCCTTGTACTCTAACATGCGCCGGGATGACATCCCCCCCAACAAGCACACCTTCCCTCTCCTTCTCAAGTCCAAGGCCCGAATACCCTTTCAGATCTTCGGGCACGCAATCCAATTCGGGCTCGGCCCCGACCCGTTCGTGAGAAACTCTCTTCTTTCCTCATTTGCCATCTGCGGACTAGTCGAGGACGCCCGTAAACTGTTCGACGAAATGACTCAAAGAGACTTGGTCTCCTACACCGCGTTAATGGACGTGTATATCAAGAACAAACAAGGCACGCAGGCTCTGGATCTGTTTCTCGAGATGAGAGAGTGCGGAGTCTGCACAGACGGGGTCGCCGTAGTCAGTGCCCTTTCTGCGGCCGGCATGTCTGGCAGCATTTGGCTCGGGAAATGGATACACGGGTTTTACGTTGAAACCGGGAGAGTCGTGCGGGATGTTTACGTCGGGAGTGCCCTCGTCGACATGTATTCCAAATGTGGGTTATGCGAGGACGCGCTCAAGGCCTTCCACGGCATGCCGCGTACAAACGTCGTCTCTTGGGGCGCATTACTCGCCGGGTTTTTGCATAACGAAAAGTTCAATGACGTGCTGCTCCTCTTCCGAAAAATGCTGCTTCTCGAAAAAACCAAACCCAACAAACCCATACTCGCAAGCGCTCTTGCCGCGTGCGCGGGGCTCGGCTCGTGCGAGCGCGGGAGGTGGATCCACGGTTACCTGGTGAAGCTTGAACACGAGACGGAGATTTGTTCGGTGCTGGGGACTGCCCTAATAGACATGTACGCCAAGTGCGGGTGCATGACGGAAGCATTTCGGGTGTTTGCGAGAGTCGCGGAGAAGGACGTGTACCCATGGACGGCCTTGATATTCGGGTCGGCAGTGAACGGTGATGCCCGGGGAGCCCTACACCTCTTCCACCAGATGGTGGGTTGTGGGGTGCGCCCGAACGAGGTCACCCTGCTAGCCGTGCTGAGCGCTTGCGCGCACGGGGGGCTCGTGGACGAGGGGAAGGCCATGTTTGCAGAGATGGAGAGGGTTTATGGGGTGGGTCCCACGGAAGAGCACTGCAGCTGCATGGTGGACCTTCTCGGGAGGGCGGGGAGGCTGAGGGAGGCGGTGGAGCTGATTGGTGGGGGGATACAAGGGAATGGGCCGTGGAGTGCGCTGCTCGGGGCGTGTGCTGTGCATGGGGATTACGAGCTCGGGAAGGTGGTGGGGAATAATTACTTGATGAGGGTGCAGCCGAGGGAGGGTGAGGGTGGGAGGTACGCTCTCGTGGCCAACTTGTGTTCGGGGAGGGGTGATTGGAAGGGGGTTGCAGAGGTGAGGAAGAAGATGAGGGAAGGTGGAGGAGGAAAGGATAGGGGGTGCAGCTGGATCGAGATGGGCGGGATTGTGCGAGAGTTTTATGCGTTCGGGGAGTCGGGTGAGGGGAATGTGCATGTGTACAACGTCGTCAATCAGCTTACGGAACATATGAAGCAGCAGCCTTTTGTTTTGGAGGATGGTTTGCTGGAGATTTGAGCGCATTTGTGAAGGATGATGAGCTCTTTGATTTAGGGGGAATTTCTTTCTAATACGTCATTTGGCCTTCTTTATTCGTTTAACAGTCCATTTCAAATACTTCGATTAAGTAAATTTCCACTGGTAAATTTTACAAGTCACACCTCTCTTAAACTATTTCAAACAGTCTTTCTCTAAAACTTTCTAAATTTGTCTTCTTAAATTTTATCTCCTCATTGGAACTTTTTAAAAACTTTTTAAAGATTTTTTAAAGTGAGTGACTTTGGTGGATTTTGTGAAAATTTTAATGACTTCTGTGGACTTTTATAGAAATCTTATTGGAGATTTTAATATTTTTATAATGTACTTTTTGAAACTGATTAAGACTTTTATATACTTAGCCCATGTTAGCTTTATGGGATGAGATTGGACTAAAATAGTCCAATTGTGAAGCATTGTACTGTTTGAGCAAATATTATCCTATGTTTGTTATATAGGATAAGGATTAGGACAACTTTATGATTAAAAAAGAAAAAATATATATAAAATCAAACATAATGGTTTAAATTACTTTATTACCCATCTGAATAAATCAATTAAATAAAAGTTGGGGGCAAAGATGGTATTTTACATGCCAGGATTGTTGTTATCCCGTCCAATAGCTGTGATTGAGTTATCCCATGAACGTAGGATTACATGTGTTTTAATCCCGGGCCGAAGGGATTCCAGCGGGCCTCCAACCTTCCAACCAAACGAGGGATTAAGGCAGGATAAGGTGGGATATCCTGCCTAATTCTGCAAAGCAAACAAGGGCTTATAGTATAAACATTACATTTGAATGAAATGTTCATGAAACTTGTTTCATAACTAGAATCAATTAAATCAAGTTAGTTTTTTTTTTTTAATATAAAATTTAAATAATTTTAATAGTAAACACGAACTATTCAACAAGAAAAAAGAAAAGAAAAGGTTTTGCAGCATTACAATTGCGTAAGTAAAAGATTAATAAATAATCCTCTAAAAATTTTGAGTCAACAATAAAACTGTTCTTCGAACTAAGTCATTCACGAACACAACTCGTTTGTGTTGAAAGCTCAAGCTCGGCTCATTTCTTTTCTTAGATGAATCAAGCTTGAACAACCAGTCTCAGCCCACACCACTCACTAGGGCTGAGCACGGGACTCGGAGATTACAAAACCGTTCCGAAAACTGAAAAATATTAGTTGACCATTTAAATTTTTCCGAACCGAACTATGCCCAAAAATTATTCGGTACGGTTTTGGAGATTCATAAAATATCCGAACCGAAAACCGAACCGAACCGAATAGAAAAAAATCATACCGAACCGGAAACCGAACAGAACCGATTTTAATTCATATAAATATAATATTTTATCTTATGCTTTCTTCTCATCTTTGAACATATTTGTATTTAAAATTGAATTGCAAATAAAATCAATATACATTATGTCTACGTTCATAAACTATCATATATTATATTTAAAATTGAATTGGAAAAATCCTCTAATATTGAATGTTAATATACTTAAGTGGTTGAAAAAATAATTATTTTATTTTCTTACTGCATTTGAGGCATTAATTTGAAAAGAAATTAAATTAGTATGCTTTTCCTATCACAATTTTTGGTAACCAACGTGTTAAATTTTATTAAAAAAATCATCAATTATAAACCAAATTCAAATTTAGAATGTTTGGAAACCGGCCTTTATGAAGAAATTTTTTCACAAAATTTGGAGAGAAATATTATTTAAAGATGATATATATTCAAATAAAAAAAAATGATAGATTTTTTTACAATAATATCTATCAGTTTAATAATAATACTACGACACGTCGACACCCACTGCTCGAAGACAACCTCAATGCTTTTTGGTATTACACATGTATTGATGAAAAATTCACAACTAAATTTAAAGTATGTCGTATGGAATTGTGGTTTTTGAATTATTGGATTTGTATTTGGAATTATGGGATGTGAACTCTTGGATAATGTGTGTCTTAGTAATACTTCATCTACAATTGCATTTTTTCTGTTTTAAAAATATTATTTTATACTTTAATATGATGAAGTATTGATGGATGTTGATTTTTCTTAAAGCATATAATAATTAAAATATAACTAAGTAGTCATTTAAAAAAAAAAAAAAATAGGAATCTTCGAAGATTCGAACTGAAACAAACCGAATCAAATCGTTCCGATAGTCCCGAATACCGAACCGAATCAAACCGAAAAATATAAATCTCCAAACTGAACCTTCCCAATTTTTTGGTACAGTTCTGGAGATCGAATTTAGTGATCTCCGAATTTTGGTACGGTTCTGAAGATTTGTCCATCTCCGAACCGTACCAACCCATGCTCACCCCTACCACTCACATCCAATCCCAAGCCCAACCCAGCCACACTACCTAATCCCAAACCCAACCCAGCCTGACCATCCCCAGCCCACCAAACAAAGCCAGACCTATTCCCAACCCCAACCCATATTACCCCAACCCACCACCCAAACACCTTTAAACCAACAACCATCAGGCCCCCAAGCCACCACCCGCGCACCAGCTGATATGGCACATTATAATGAGCTCGGTGAACCGGAGAGGATTTGCTCGGTTTAGCTACCTGCTCGACTTGATGATTAATAGCTCGATTTTTAGGCATGCTAACAGCTCGGCTCTTAGCGATTATGTTGTTAGATTGGAGGAGCTTCTAACGGCTTGGCATTAGATTGATATCAACAGCTCGATTGATATGCTTGGCTTTAGGCTAGCAGTTTAAGTATGATCATAGCAATGGGGAATCGGCGAGGACTAGCTCGGTTTACCGAGCAGGTTAACATGTGAAAGAAACGTTTGTAATTCGGGATTATGCTAAGGGCCGAACAAGTGAGGCAGTTATGAAGAGCAGACTATAAGGGACAGGTGTAGTGTCGGGATCAAAGCAGAATAAGTGATCTAACGGGTGAAGATCAGAGCGTATGGAACAAGCTAATAACTTCATATAAATAGGTAAACCATTGGAAGATATATAATTAATCATTCTACAAACCCTAAATTCTATACACAGCTTCCTTCTATCTTGGATCTCTTACTGACTTGAGCGTCGGAGGTTTACCGCCGGAAGCACCTCCCAACGTCTTTGCAGGTCTTGAAGCGGTCGAGGATTGGAGTGAAGCCGGTTCAAGTGCTGGAGCACATCAATTGGCGCCGTCTAGTGGTGTAAATCAGTTACTCTACTGATTGTAAGAAAGGTTAAGATGGAACAGACGATCGAAGAGGAGCAGCCGTTGAGGTGGAATTTGGGTGAGAGTCTGGAGGAGGCTTGGGTTACTCAAATGCCCTACGAAGGAGGACCACCTGTGGGGTGGACTGGAGGTCAGGGTTCAATGGCTACTCCTCAGGTGAATTTGCAAGTGGTGAACCAGATCCTGGTGCCGGAGTAGAGAAGAAGCCAGGAGGTGATTGTGCAGACACCGGGGCAAGGGGCCAGGCAGGGAGGAGGTGAGCCGAAGATGAGGGTGACCAGGACGGAGTTGGACCGTCTTATTGCGGAGGCAGTTAGTAGAGCTCTGGTTGCGCGAGCACAGACGAAGGTGGTGATGTAACGCCCCACTTTATTTTAAACGATTTACCGTAATTATTTAATAAAAATCACTATAAATTTTTCGCAAATCTCAATTTAATTAAAACTTTGTGGGCGCTACTGTTTACCAAAAGTTTTTATGCAAACACATTAGACAAAGACAGCATGCATGAATATTAAATCATAAGCCTCAATAGCATTCATTAAGTTCCAAATCATAAAAAGGGGAAATCACAATTCCAAGTTCAAAACGACATAATCAAAATATCCCAATTTCACATAAGTTCATGAAATGTGCGGAAGCTAATAAATAAGCAATAAATAAAAGCAAGACCACCACTCGTCCTGCCTCGTCACCCGCCAACTGCTTAACCTGCATCCGTGAAGAACAGATGGGAGTGAGTACAGTTAAATATCGTACTCACACTATGCATATGAATATCATAACAATGGTATGGTCGCAGCATGAACACAAACAATTATCACAACATGTCTCATCTCCTAATCAATATCACACCATTTAACCTTACTTCTGTGCACATCTATCGCTAGCCGCAGAACGAGGATTCATTACCCGAAGGTGGGAGTACGTGCCACTGTAATGGACACGGCCTTCCATATGGGCTTACGTACCTCACAAGGGTACGACTATATCAGGACTTAAGGAGATTGCCACACAAGGGCACCATACCGTAACTCGACGGGGACAACCGTACCGACGACCGTAACAGCTCGCATCGATAGGCTACATATTCACATGCGTACATAGATCATACCAAATTTTCAACACAATTAAAACACATATATGCATAGGTATTTTAAAATAACTAACCCACCTGGTCGGAATAAAGACAAATCACAAAAATGCGTGTAGGTGGCGAGTTCGACTCGTCTAGCACCTACATTTAATTAAATATCCCTATCAAAGACTATTCGACAATCACTTAGTCCAACTAAGCACACTTAGCATTTAAACATGCATTAAATCAAAGAAATCACATTTTCGAAAATATCACATAAGTTTTGAAAACTTAACCCGGGCATCATTTTTAAAACTGACATAAGTCTCAACACAAAATTCATATGAACATGAATAAAGTGGAATTGGAACCCTAAGACATGTATCTACAATTGTTATGAAGACATTGAAAACAAATAAGGCCATTTAACAGGTGATAAATCAGAAAACATTCAAACTTGAGTCACAGTCCAAAACTGGGAAAATGAACATGACCAGACTTCAGTAATTGCTATCTAACTGAAGCTACAGGCATGCTTTCAATGAGATTCAAAACCCACATGATATATAACTCAATTGCATACAACTTTGCTGAAGATAACATTCGCAAATAATCACATTATCAACGAGTTTAAACACAAAACATTTGATTCAACAAACCTGTCAAAAACTAACATGTGATATG